CCGCCTCCACATTTGGTCCGGCCCCCTGAACAATACCAGAGAGCATTTTGATTATTTTTTTTCGCGATAAACGAGGGCTCGCTGTATTTGTATTTGATAAGTTGGACTCTTGCAATAAAATGTTCCTTAGTTATAGACTATTTTCATTATTAACTATTGGTTAGTAACTATTTCATACACGCATATAGCGTGACATTCTGTTCCACCCTTCTGCGGTCTTTGCCCTTATCTGGCAACCCCCAGAAAAAAAAACCTAAACACGCCCTTCTCAAAGAGAGAACGGAATAATGGCGAAAAGATTAGGTAAGAGAAAAATTGATTCAGAATGCAGGGCATTTAACCTGCAGTGGACAAACGATTATTTTTTTGTTCAATGCAAAGAAAAGGCTGTCTGTCTCATCTGTCAAGAGGCGGTGGCGGTATTCAAAGAATACAATCTGCGGCGACACTATGAATCCCGCCACAAAGACAAGTTTGCTAGCTTGCAAGGCCAATTGCGAGCAGACAAACTCGCGAAGCTAAAAAGTGGACTGTTAGCTCAGCAGAATACATTTGTACGCCAAGCTCAGCTGAACCAGTCATCTGTTTCGGCCAGCTTTCGGGTTGCTCAACTAATAGCAAGCAGCGGTAAACCTTTTTACTGATGGAGAGTTTGTCAAGAAATGCATGATCGCTGTCGCGGAGGAGGTGTGTCCCGAGAAGAAAGATGTTTTTAATGCCGTGAGTCTATCAGCGAGTACAATCACCAGACGCATTGAACAAATCGGTGATAATGTATATGCCCAGCTGCAGCATAAGACGAAAGAATTTGAATTTTTTTCATTAGCACTGGATGAGAGCACGGACGTGCAGGACACCGCGCAGCTGCTCATTTTTATTCGTGGAATTAGTGCAAACTTTGAGATGTGCGAGGAGCTGGCAGCCCTCCAAAGTCTCAAAGGGACTACGACGGGGGAGGATATTTTCGGCAAAGTGTACCAAACCATAGAAGAGTTGGGCCTCGACTGGTCAAAGCTGGCCAGCATCACAACTGACGGGGCTCCTAGTATGGTGGGCGTGTCTCGGGGTCTTATAGGACGCATGAATCGGGAGATGGAAGAACGGGGTCTCACCGCCCCGCTACAAGTCCATTGCCTAATTCACCAGCAAGCACTGTGCTGCAAAGTGTTGACGTGGGATTCTGTCATGAAGGTTGTGGTGTCATGCATAAACTTCATCAGAGCAAAGGGACTTAAACACAGGCAGTTCCAAGAATTCCTGTCTCAACTGGAATCTGCGCACGGAGATGTGCTGTACTACACAGAGGTCCGATGGTTGAGCCGGGGGAGAGTTTTGAGGCGTTTTTACGAGCTGCTACCTGAAATTAACGCATTTCTTCATACACAAAACAAAACAGTGCCAGAGCTGAGCGACCCAGAATGGAAATGGCACCTTGCATTTTTAAGAGACATGACAGAAACGCTGAACAGCTTTAACTTGCAGCTACAAGGCCAGGGGAAACTCATTTGCGACATGTATTCCCACATAAAAGCATTTGAGGTGAAACTAGAGCTGCTTTTGGGACAAGTGAAAAAGCACAGCTTCATCCATCTCCCTGCTACACAAAATCTCTCTGCAGAGAAACCAGCGGTCCCGTTTCCAGCTGAAAAGTGTGTGGAAGCACTGGAAATGCTGAAGGCGGAGTTCGGTGTGCGATTCCGTGAACTACATGTTTATGCAAAAGAAATCCGTCTTTTCCAGAACCCCTTTGTTGCCGACATTGAGGAAGCCCAGCCTTCTTATCAGTTTGAGTTGGCCGAGTTACAGAACTGTGATGTTCTGAAAGACGCGTTCAAGTCCAACAGTCTCATTGACTTCTATGCCGCCCTCCCAAACGACACGTACCCTAACATCAGAAAACACGCAATGAAGATGTCCACACTTTTTGACAGCACGTATATCTGCGAGCAAACATTTTCAGGCATGAAACTGCTGAAAAATTCAATGAGATCAAGATTGACAGATGAACATCTGCATCAGTGTTTGAGACTGGCAGTGACTAGAATGGAACCTGACATTCAACTTCTCATCAGCCAGATGCAGGCCCACAGTTCACACTGATGAACATACAAAGGTAAGCTCACTTTTCTGACTTGAATGAGTCATTCTGAGTATAAACAAATATAATCATAATAAAATCTACTGGGATAAAATCCATCTCCACAACCATACTGGCAGTGGTACTGGTTGTGCTGTGCAGATGCTGTATCACTTAGTTCAGTTTCTCAGCCTGCTTGCTTTGTGGTTTTCACAGGGAAGTTGATGAGAGAGAGAGAGAGCTGCAAACAGCGACGTCTACAAGCCTGCTGGAACCTACAAAAGGATTATAAGGAAGGAACACAAGAACTTTGAGAGATTTATTTCATAAATATTATTATTTATTTCCTGGCTTTTTTCTGTGAAGAACCCAGAGAGGGTTATTTGATTATTATTTATTTCATTAATAGTGTTATTATTTATTTCCTGACTTTTGTTCTGTGAAGAATCCAGAAACGGTTATTTGATTGTGCTTTCTGGAAAACAATAAATGTTTACGTTTAGGCACTCCTGCAATCGTCACATTTTTTCTGTTACAAACTGACCCCGGCCCCCCATCAGAGAAGGGAAAAGTTATGTGGCCCTCACAGGAAAAAGTTTGGGGACCCCTGGTGTAGATGGAGTTTGTCGAATTACACCAGACATTGTATTTGGCTTTACAAGTAGTCGGTAAAAATGTTAAGATTTGATTTGTTGATTAACAGAAGCTTTTTGGCGACTTTTCAGACTGTGTCAGAGTCTTACTGCTTTCCAATACAAATGTATTTTGTCATCTGCAGTACCTACATAGAGCCCCTAGATGGCATATTTGTTCATCCATCCATCCATCCATTCATCCATCCATTCATCCATCAATCATCGTCTGCTTATCCGGGCCGGGTCACGGGGGGAACAGTCTGAGCAGGGACACCCAGACTTCCCTCTCCCCAGACACTTCCTCCAGCTCTTCTGGGGGGACCCCAAGTTGCTCCCAGGTGTGTCCTAGGTTTTCCCCTAGGTCTCCTCCCAGAGGGACAGGACCCGAGCACCTCCCAAGGTAGGCGTCCGAGGAGCATGCGATGTAAATGCCCAAGCCACCTCAGCTGACTCCTCTCAATGTGGAGGAACAGCGGCTCTACTTCGAGCTCCTCCTGGGTGACAGAGCTCCTCACCCTATCTCTAAGGAAGCACACTGCCACCCTGAGGAGAAAGCTAATTTCAGCCGCTTGTATCCGGGATCTCGTTCTTTCAGTCATGACCCAAAGCTCATGACCATAGGTGAGGGTAGGAACATAGATTGACCGGTAAATCGAAAGCTTTGCCTTTCGGCTCAGCTCCTTCTTCACCACAATGGACCGATACAGTGGCCGCACTGATCCGCCTGTCAATCTCACGCTCCATCTTTCCGTCACTCCGTGAACAAGACCCCCAAGATACTTAAACTCCTCCACCTAAGGAAGGATCTCCACCCCCAACCTGGAGGGTACAAACCACCTTTTTCCAGTCGAGAACCATGGCCTCGGACTTAGAGGTGCTGAATCTCATCCCAGCGGCTTCACACTCAGCTGCGAACCACCCCATTGCATGCTGTAGGTCCTGGCTCGAAGAAGCATACAAGACAACATCATCTGCAAAAAGCAGAGATGAAATCCGGTGGCTCCCGAACTGGACCCCACCCAACACCTGGCTGTGCCTAAAAATTCTGTCCATAAAGATAATGAACAGAACCGGTGACAAAGGGCAGCCCTGCCGTAGTCCAACATGCACTGGGAACAGGTCTGACTTACTGCCAGCAATGCAAACCAAGCTCTTGCTCCGATCGTACAGGGACCGGACAGCCCTTAGAAGAGGGCCTCCTACCCCATACTCTCAGAGAATACCACACCACCCACAGAATACCACGAAGAACACGGTCAAAAGCCTTTTCCAAGTCCACAAAACACATGTGGACCGGTTGGGCAAACTCCCATGAACCCTCAAGCACCCTGTGGAGGGTATAGAGCTGGTCCAGTGTTCCAAGACCAGGACGAAAACCACATTGTTCCTCTTGAATCTGAGGTTCGACTATCGGCCAAATTCTCCTCTCCAGTACCCTGGAATAGACTTTTCCCGGGAGGCTGAGGAGTGTGATCCCCCGATAGTTGAGACTTCCTGCGTTGCGCTGAAAACATGTAACTTACAAGATGTCCATGCACATGCAGAACATGCATAGGACAGACATCAGGCAAATAAACAAAAATATAAGAATAAGCCTGTACAAGGTTTTGTCTCATTGCCAAGTAAAAAATGGTCTGATCAGGGAGCTAGGCCTCAGCAAAGAAAACAATGGCAACAGAATGATGAATCTGACTATGAGGAGGGTAATGACAAGTGCTATAATTGCGGTAGGAGAGGGCACGCGAGAGCGTGTACAGCTCCACGCAGACAGAAGAAACAACCGCAACAATGAAGGTGCTAGAGCACGTAGGGGAAGATAAGAGGGTAACAGAACTGATAGGTGTCGCCCATACAAACCATGAGACGATAAACAGCAGAAAAAACTGTCACCAGAAAGAATCAACACTGTTTGTAAATTGCATGCCCCAACGATTAGGAAACAACTAATGTCCTTCTTTGGCACATTTAATTATTGCAGATAATGGATTCCAAATTACTCCAAATTATCTGGACCGTTATTTATTTACTTTCAGGTCCAATGAGTTCTGCACCAGCTACTAAAATCACATTACAATCTGATCATTTAAGGTGCATAGCTCAATTAAAAACAGCACTACAATCCGTAGCGTCTCTAAAATTACCTGACTATAGCAAACCCTTTAACCTTTATTGTGATTCAAAAGATGGACACATGACTGCTGTGTTGACTCAAAAACATGGCCCATCACAATGACCATTCTGCTATTACTCCAAACGGCTAGATAATGTGGCTGCAGGCCTGCCACCGTGTGTACAAGCTGTTGTTGCAGCTGCAGAAGCAGTGATAGCTTGTACTAACATTGTACTTTATCACCCCCTCACACTTGGTTCTGAACCAGAACCGTATTTGTTTTCTGTCGCCTATGCGACATCTGCACTGCATGACTACATTACTTTCACAGCCTCATCTGACTGTGATTAGATGTACAACTTTGAATCCTGCTACACTTTTGCCTACATCGCAAGATGATGAACCACATAACTGTCTAGAGTGTTCTTCCCAGAAGTGTCAGGTGTCAAGTAAACGCTTTGTATAGAAAGGAATTCAACCTTAAACCACAGTAATCTAGAATGTTCCACAGACTTTATAGACGCAGCCCCAGAGGCGACAGTAGGGGCAACAATCTCATCTGATGCTGACGCTTGTAAAGGCTATTCCTTAACCCTTGTGCAGTCCTTCGCATTTTTGTACACACCGTTCGTCTTTGCAATGATTTTCATCAGACACAAAGACTTGTAACCCTTGTCTAGGTGACCCACGGGTCACCTAGACAAAGGTTACAAGGGTTAACAATGAAAAGAAACTGATGTGGTGATTACTGCTGTAATGCCTGAATCATAACAAGCCTCCAGTCACTAGGTGGCAGCATCTCATACAGTGGTTTGTACAGATATAAATATACATGTTATATTTCAATTCGCGGGGGTTTGGGTCGGGGTGGGCATGAAAACATTTCTGTCCACAAGGGGGGCATGACAGAAAATAATTAAGAACCACTGCTGTAAAGAAAGGGGAAAAACAGAAAATAAAAACAGAGGACAGTGTCCCTGCTGAAAAACACATCACAGTCTTCTTCTTCTTCCTCGTCTTAGTCTTCTTCTTGTTTAAAGGATTTATTTCATACAACGCTACAAAGACAGGGTGAATTGCGTTATTGTCTTGTTTATTTATTTATTGCTAATTTTCACTAATCTGGGAGAGTCGTTGCCTCCATATGTGCCGTTAAAGCTGGGTAAAGAAGAATGTGTGCACTGCAGTTCTCTCTCCCCACACACAGAGAAATGGGACACATTATGTTGATGGGAACGCTGAACTTCAAGTACTGCACATACTGTACATACTGCTGAATTCAGTACACATGTTTCTATGATGGAAACTCTAGTCAAAAGCAGCGTGGCTGTGTAAGAAGTCAGTGCTACTGTAGGTTGAACTCCAAACTCTGAAATATAACCAGTATGTTTTTTTGAAGTTCTTCTTACGGAGTTAATCTTTGCAGGAACATGCATTGATAATTTGACATCAGTGTTAAGAATTAGCTCCGAAATCAAGACCAGAAGGTAAACAAGTACCTAATGTAGCACACATGGGGTTTGTGAAAATAGTGTTTATGTATTTATTTTTTATTTCTGTCTCTGGCAGTCTCTGGCAGCAAGAATATTATTACAAGAATTAACAATTTACAAAAAGAAAAACACATGCCAATAATCAAAATGTAATGTAAATAATCATTTCAGAATTGTGATTTTGATAAGATACGTTTTATTGGGAAAAAATAAAGTTTAGAAGGAAATAAATAAAATAAGGGCCTTTTACAGACGTGATCAAAAACGGGTTAAAACTAGCCTATTTGTTTTATTTCAACCCTTCAGTAAACAGAGTTTAGTTGTTAGCCTAAAAAGCATTGTTCAAATAAACCATCTGGATTTATTTATTTTTCTGAACCTGGTTTGGCTCAAGCCTCTCCTTGAATCGCAACCTTAACGTGGTGGAGGGGTTTGAGTATCCGAATGAACCTAGGAGCTATGTTGTCGGGGGCTTAACGCCCCTGGTAGGGTCTCCCAAGGCAAACAGGTCCTAGGCGACGGATCAGACAAATAGCGGTTCAACCCCCCCTTTGTGATGAAGAAAAATACAGC